AAAAAAAAAAAAACCGAATTTGAAAGCTGCTAAACTACACCTTCGCCAGCACTTCTTCACATACCAACAGAACCACCCTCGCATTTCCCTTCGTCCACCCTCTGCTACGAACCATCCAGCCAAGCAACCACCACTTAAAAACTAGTCTGTAGCTGACTTCAATACCCACTTGAATCCTCCAATTCCTTCCTTCTCTTACATCTTACAGCGACTAAAATATCCTACCAATATCACGACACGTCCCCCACCAAAAAAGAGATGGCAAAAGAAACGGCCACAAATTAGCTCCACAAGTAAACAAGCGAACAATGATTGGACGAACTTTTACTTGACTGACATATCGCAGCCTCATATAACAGAAATTTCACCACGTACAAAACACGTTAAACCGTGACGACTGAAAATGTTTGCTGCTTGCAATAACCATATATATAGAAACAAACCCAAAATAGTAATAACAACTGAATGGGCAACAAACATCTTTCAGACGGCATCCACTGCCACAAGACTAGTACAATTTCATAATCAGTCAGTAAAAGCAAAAATAAAAAAAAAAATTTACATTTGCCGTATCAGTAGCTGCTAATAGGCATCGGCCAATCTTCCGACTCACCGCCTTCGTGAGAGTCTGCATACGGGCAGTCGTCTCCTAGCACACAGTATCCACACCACAGATACATCTCGCAAATTTTATCCTCAGCAGTATCCTCCTTAGTCTCTTCCTGTAAAACTACCTTGTTATCAGCAGCAAAAAAAAAGCATCAAGAACAGTTACAACTGAAGCGTTCGAACCGTTTAAAAATTTGACATTTCACAATCGTCAAAACATACCTGTTCTTCCAAGTCTTCAACAGGACCTTCATAAACAGTTTCAAGTGTGTGCTTTGCGTACTGCAACGGCAAATACACGCGTCCTGACAACAGGCAGGACGAGATGTACGATCTCCGGTGTTTGCGGTGGTGTTTTTTTGGAAACGAGCTTTCTGCTGAGCAATTAAGAGATTGATCTTTAGATGATGCGCGAACATGCAGTCTACTGATACTGTGCTAAAATCCATACTGGTAAGTAAAAAAAGACAAATCTTCGATATAAACTTTTACATCACAGCCGAATGCTTGCCGTATATACATACCAACATTGACGGTAAATACATTAGATAATTCAACTTAACTCGCAGTCCTTATCTGTTCCCTAAGTCAGTGTCAAAAATTAACATTGAAACTTTGTACAAATCGAGAGCAACAATTAATGATACAAGATGAACAGGTGGGAAATAAGACTTCAGCAAACAACAACTGCTTAAGATACTTACTTGAATATTAGTTATACTTTTGCTAATCTCAGAACTTGAACTATTCTTAACTCCCTCAACCGTCGGTTTTGCTAAGTTAATATTAATAAAATTTTCATTAGACGTTCCAGCAACACCGTGGACCTAAACAAATAATACACATTTTCAGTGTTAAAGCATACACATTTGACTTCCTTAAGTTCCGAGACTGTGATAATTCTTTAAAATTTGGAACAAAGATGTTAGAAAGAAAATAAAGAGCCATATTTACGTAATTTTTATAAGCACAGTAAACAAAATTTAAAAGCAAAGATAGACTATTTATGAACATACGTTTTGAGTTTCCCGGTTGAGTGAACCATTATACAAGTGACCACTCGCTGCACTGAAGCCTTGGTGTCCTAAAACTTGAAGAGTTAGAACCTTACAGTAAATCGTAGGTTATGAAGACACTTTATACCTGTATAACGTCTCAGACTATAAAATATCTTTGAATTGCCGTAATCACGCTCGTCCAAATCGACAAAATAACCGTACCTTTCTTCCAAATCGTTAGTTTCTTTTCTAAAAGCTCGATATATAGTATTTAAAATTAAAAATTACCTATTTTGGCAATCAGTTCTCAATAAAAACTTATAACATATTCACTCTCATCTGGAGAAGAAAGAATCTTAATTGTGTGAGAAAAAACTGCAGCTCACTTAAGCGCCTTCTCATCTTGACCGCTCGAAGAAAACTGCATATTCTGACGCTGCTCTACTATACTGAATGACTCTGCTGAACCATCCAGATTTTTTGAAAGCTGTAAAATTAAAAAAAAAAGTTAATTAAATAAATAAATAAATAATAATAAGTTCAGAAACCGTTCTTTAAAAACAACTTTTTTCTTTTTGTTAAAAGTAATAATAACAATTAAAAAAAGGTTAGCTGTAAAGTGCTACCATTTAAGACGTTAACTTTACATAGATAGCATATGCCTCATCTAAATCACCATCAATAGATAACGCACTCTATGAACAAAAACTCGTCATAAAATCCTTTTGTTTTATTTTACTTCCAAAACTTTAGAGCTGTTTATCCTACTATTAAAAATGTACCGTATGTGACGAAATGTCGGTCATCTTCTATGTTGAATCTTTGTTAAGACGAGGAAATTTACTTAATGCGAAGTTTGAGTTGACACCACGCTGTGCTTCCGTCGTTCGTCTTAAAAGAATTTATTATTTAAAATGTATTCCAAACTTGAGAAAGAAAAAATAAGAAGCAATTTAAAAAAAGCACGAAAAAAAAGACAAAAATCTAAAACAGACTGCAGCAAAGCCTGCTTGTGACTTGTTTGTAGTACCAGCTGCGGTTGCCGAGGCTCAGCTAGATGGCCGATGCCACAACTAAACATTTAGTTAAAACTTACACAACAACTTCTGGAGAAGATAATCTTACTTTATACAATTTTGTTATGGCTGTTCTTACAAATAAGGAACACTTAAATTCTACTAAAAATGAAGAACTGAACATATTATATCAAATTTGGTGTACTAGTTACAAGTACTAGTTACACCATAGTTTCTATCCGATGGAAAGCTATGCTTTGCAACTTAATAGGCCTATGAATAGATAAACTCAGCAAAAAAGTGGGAAAGATCACAAAAACTGTAATTAATCTTTATTTTTTCACTGTTGTTTCAACGCCTGAATTAGTAGAGCATCCTTAATAAGCTCAAACTTACTTTAAATACTACCTCTATTACGTTTTTTTTGACAAACCACCTAATCGTCACTACATTTTAAAAGACATTGTTGGCTTCATACAGATTATGGTTTGAGGTACTGATTACCATTTGATAAAATAAAAAAACAGGCGAAAAGAAAGAAATTAGAGCATAAAATTGCTAACACTGATAAAACAACTGATCCTTTAAACGCCTGTTTTCATCAGGTTCAGCAGGCAATTTTACGAAAAGGCGATTCGCCGAAACACACGGTACGATTACTGTCAGCAATTCGACGGTCAAACCATGCTAACCAATACTGGTTTTTCTTCCCGTTTATATAACATAATAGAGGAGGCACATGCTGCTGTGTTTGGGAGGTTCGACATGGTGTTAGAACAACAGTATTGCCTCTGTGATTGAAATTTGACCTACCATGCTTTTTTTCACTGCTTCTGGTTTGCTGATCATTAAGTGGGAGTGACGTAGGTGACAACAAAGATAAACCGCTAAAGTACAGCTAACTGTTGAAGCTTTGACACTGTTTGACGGAGAACTATAAAACAAAATTTCCCCTAAAGTTTTCAGCAAGAGAAAGAGGTGAAATAAAGCAGATAAATGATAATAATCATGTAGTGATAGTCAAAAAATTAGGAGCAAAATAAAGAGTTATAGGAACTGGTAAATAAGAAAATTACACGTATAATTAGCTGTGTAAATGTGCTGTGTCACAACTTTCTTTAACCAAAGATTCAGTGAAAAACGTTAACTGATGCGATCATTATGAGAAGGACACATAATTTGTTGTTACAGTTTGTTGTTACAACAGGAAAACAGTCTTACAATTCGAAGAGTTAATTGCTGTAAGACTATTTTTTTGAGACGCCCGAAAAAATTTTACTGACTCTATGTCATCGTAAACAGAGCGATGTTTCTGATATTGTTTTCTCAATTAATTTTAAATTTTTGTTTGTTTGAATACTCACAATAATATATGTTCAAAGTTTGGTTTGATTACTGCAGTAGCTACAGTCTCAATAGTGTCTTTTTCTAACAAATTAAGAGTGCTCAAAATATCTACAAAAGAAAGAGAAGATAAAACTTCAACGTTAGTAATCAGTAAAATGTGTCTTTAAAAAAGCAAATCTTAATATAACCTCACAAAAGTATGGTTTTAGCAAATTACCAGACTGTAGGTTTATCTCATCTCACAATGAAACAAAATTTGAAATTGCACAGTTGGTATTCGTTGTTTTGAAAAGACAAGTTCGTAAAGCTTTATAATTATCAAAAAATATGATTTAAAATTTCTAGTAGTTTCCAGCAAGTTCGTTCTTTGTTCTTTATTCTTGTTCTAGAAGAAGGTGATTGGTCTAAATGACCAATTTCTTGTTTCATTTGCAGAACTTATTTTTTTTTACCTACAGTCTGAACATTTTTGAGAAATGTTTTTGAAGGTACTCCTCAAGTCGGTGTTCGTTGATTTAAATTCATCTCCGCCAATGTAATTGGATAAACCTATAAACACCAATTCGACTGTCAATTTTTTTAGCTAAAAAGATCAGATATCAATAGCAAAATTGAAAAGGTTGCACAGATAGAAACTAAATAACCTGCTAAAAATGACTACTAAATTAAAAAGAAGACGAAAACTGTGTAAAAAAATGTAATAATTGGATAAGAACTGATAAACTGTTAAACGCTACTGAACAGATTTTTTTGTCAAAATTATTCTTCACATTTTTAAAAATATAAGAAAATGAGTTTTTTAGTTGTTATTACCTTCAATTAAAAAACTAAAAGTTTTCGTCCACATAAAATGAAACATTTCAGTTGCTGAATATTACAGCTTTTTTGCTACATCTATGGCAGATTTGGTTGTTGAGGTTTTTCAACTAAAACACTAAGCAACGTTTTTCACAACTTTAGTTACTGAATTCATTTGTTATTGTGCATAACACATAACAAGCTAGTTTATGATACAGTTTGTAGCATTATATGGATATATTTGTATGTATATTTATAAAACTTATTTTCAGAAATTGAAGTGAGGCTGCTGAAAAAGTGTAAACTGTAGATTAAACATGTTCAGGTCATCTTATAAAACTAGACGTATACCTGGAAAATGAAGGTGATACTTTGCGATTGAGCAGTAAAAAAAAAATTAATTAAGGATGAATCATTAGGTCAAAAATAACAGCCAATTTTCGTTTTTTGCTCTATATTTCCTTTTTCTCACTTTTGAAACAAGTAAAAAGTTTCAGTCTGACTACCGACACACTTTATATTGTCGACTTAAAATCTAACTTATCACTTTTGTTGCCTTCATTATTGATCTATCAGCTCATAATAGATTTGCTGCAAATAGACGTATGTTACAAAGTTGACGTAAAATTGTTAATAACAGTGAAAGAAAAGTGTACAATGAGAACATTT